CCAGGCCACGCAGACCGCGGCGACACCAGGCCTGCGCGCCCAGCCCGCCGCCCAGGCCATGCTGCCGGCACTCGGCCGCCAGGTGAGCTCAGTGCAGTCCCAGAGCTTTGGCAAATGCTTCCAGCGAAAGAACTGCCTCCCCAGCTCCTGTATTCCTCACGAACTGTTTCTCAGACACCAACCGGGGGCTTCCGAGGCAGATAAGTGAATTCTTTGGGCTCCGGCGATGCGGGGCAACTCCCCCCGTGCTCGGGTGGGAACGCCTGTGTGATCACAGCACATCGGCGCGGGAGCCGTCCCGCAGCAACCGACTGCCACCAGGCAGCGTCCTGGGCCCGTCTCGGCACCTGTCACCCAGCGGTGCCCTTGCGCCCCCCACCTAAAGCGATCTCCACCCCCTCACCGAGCCAGCGACTCCCTTCCATGATCGCAAATGGCAAACCGGAACATCTATTTCCACAGCGAAAGCTGCCTTGGTGACAGAATGAGCCGGGAATCTAACTTTCCCAAGTCCTCCGAGCATCTCCACCCTCACCCCTCCTCCCCTCCTCTGCAGCAATCCACCTCTTCAAGGAGCAGGCGTCTGCCGTGTGCACGCGGGGTCCCGGGCAGGTGTCACCCGGGGAGCCCCGCTGCCACCGGCCACCACAGACAGCCGCCCATTACCTTCACGTAGGACTTCTCCGTGTCCATCAGCTCCTGGATGACTTTCCGGAGGCGATCCGCGTCAGACAGGTGGCGGGCCAGGGGCCTCGGGGGCGGGTCCTGGCTCTCCCTCTGCCCTTCCATGCTGTTGGGCTGGGTGTCGTTAAGACTCCTGCACAGCGCGGCGATCTGCTCAGCACTCTGAGAGGGGACAAGAGGTGGGAAGCAATGTACAGGACGCTTTCCATTACTATCCGCTGCCCACCAAGGACACGAACAGCGTCTCCATCACTGCCCGGTGCCCTTTCAGGAACCGCGTGGGGAACGCACGCAGGGCAGGTGGTTTCGTCAGCCACAGACCACTGACAGCACTGAAGAGGCCGCAGTGAAGGTCTGAACTTACGCTCATCGGTGCCTACGCCTGACATTGTCACTGGCTGTTGGACAGATGCTTCTTTCGTACTAAAACTAGAGGCGGCGCCAGGCTCACCCTGTGTGACACTGTTGAGGCTGCTCTAAGGTCGTGGTTCTGCTCACTAAGGGCACAATAGCCCCACCTGGCCCACTCTGTCCCCTCAATGGTTGGCCTGACACAGCTCAGTCTCCCATACAACACAGCCCCGGGAGACCCAGGAGGGTCATGGCACCACTGTAAATGTAGGGTGCTTCGGCCACAATGGACTTGGAGTTCTGCCCTCAAATCGGACCATTTAGCTCTGCAGTCCTGCGCCAGTGGCAGAGTCACGAGTGTAAAAGTTGAGCTGCTGTAGATGCTAGAGATGGGAGCAGAGACAGAGACGTAGAGGAAAGATAAGGCCCCTGCCCTGAAGGGGTCAGAACCCCACAGGGGGCACAGACAGGGAGCAGGTGACACAGCAAAGCCTGGGGGGTACTGGAGAGAGGGATGGGCGGGCTCTGGGAAACCGCAGGGAGAAGGGGAGCCTCGGCCGGGTCCTAAGCAGCGAGCGGCCATGTGCCAGACCCAGGGGCTGGGGGAAGGGGAGGTTCTCATTCCAGATACTGGGAACAGAATCACAGAGATTGAGGCAAGAAGGAGCAGGGGGGTCTGGGGGGCCTAACACCCTTCAACGCAAGTTCCTAGTTAGCCTCACGCGCAGCATGGCCAGGCCTCTCCAGAACCCACTGCAGACCCCTGCCCGAGGCGGGTGTGAAATCGCACGCGGGCCCGTCTGCTTCCCAGCGCCTGGGTGGGTGCCAGCAGACTGCACCTGCAGTGTCTCCCCCGTTCCGTCTCTCTCCAGCCCACCCACATACCGGCTGCAGCCNCGGGTGTGAAATCGCACGCGGGCCCGTCTGCTTCCCAGCGCCTGGGTGGGCGCCAGCAGACTGCACCTGCAGTGTCTCCTCCGTTCCGTCTCTCTCCAGCCCACCCACATACGGGCTGCAGCCCATCGCGGCACCTGCCAGTCCGTGAGCCGGTCAAGGCAGGGCCACGCGTTTCTTTGTCATTGTCCCCAGTGCCCAGCTCAGTGGCAGGTTCACAGTAAGTGTTCGGTTCACCTCTGTTGCACTGAAAATATCACCGACTAACAAAGCAGCTTAGTCCCAGTGCGAATGACTAATACCCATCTACTGTGGCAACTTCCTTCAGTTTCAAGGACTTCGTGCCTGACCTCTGTCACTGCCTCTAGGGTGAGAAGCGAACATGTCAGAGCATCTTCTAATACTCGTTTAATTCATTCTCTTTCCTTGGATATATCAGAACATTAACAGCTTCCACAAGCACGCTGGTCACCCTCAGAGGCTGGTGCGTGGTTATCAAAGCTGTCACCCGACAAACTACAGTCCCTCCAAGAAAAAGCAGGACACTCTTGTCCTCCCGTCTTCTCCCTCTGTTCCACCCCCACCCCCAACACAGTGTCTTCAACGGAAGGAAATACACATCAGCAGTGAAACTCGACCTCGACCTTCTGGGCTAGTCTTTCAAGTCCATTCAACAGATGCCCACTGAGGGTCTGCTCGGTCTTCAAAGAAACAGAAGTCGGTTTCTGCCTGAGGAGATGAGACTTGCCAAGGCGGCCTGGAGACCAACACAAGCTTGTATGGGACAAACGGAAAGTGTCGTACACACAGCCGATGGACGCATGGCTGTGGAACGGGCTGCCTGGGGAGGCGTCAGTGAAGAACTGGTTGTAACATGGCCACGGGAGGCCCTCAGAATAAGCCCAAGGTGCAGGGGGAAAGTGAGCCCAACTCGGGGTGTAAGGGAGCCCCCACAGGTGTGGGCGCTGGAAATCCCAGGCTGTGGGGCTCTTTAAACATAATCGCTTCCCTTTTATCTTCACACAATCTTGGTACAAAAGCTAGACCAACCATAAAACAGGTACTTGGCCCCCAACTAGACGTATAAACACATATAACACAATTTACTTCTCCAAAAGCTCCAACCATGTGCAAGTACTAATGATTCTCCTGGGAAACACGTTATCCACTAGGTTCTGTCCTCGGCTGTGAACACAAGCACATTTCTGGTAATGCCTGTGAGAGGGCGTCTATCCTGGGTACACTCTCTAAGAAACCAGATGCAGATCGTAAGGCACCACTCAATGCAACTTGACCTATCAAAGCGTCTATCATGCTCAAAACCACCAAATCTTCTGATTCATTACTGGAGGAACTCCAGCACTGAGCACTCATGCCCTGAAAGCCGAAGCACATAGAGCAAAAGCCAACGAGGCCAGCGCAGCCCAAGGCGGCTGCTTTCTCTTCCAGGATGTGAGCATCCTAAAGGGGCAGCACTGGGAACGTAACAGTCCCCTCCAAATCCTGCCCTCTTCCTCTCCAGTGGATGTCAACCTGGCCATGCACTGGCTTCGTTGGGGAGCTTTAAAAAATACGCACACCCATGTGCCTGGACCAACTGAATCAGAATCTAGGGCCCCAGGTATGGACATTTTTAAAAGCTTCCCAAGTGATGCTCACGTGTGGCCCAAGTAAGAACAGCTGGTCTACCCATCAGCAGAGTGAACATTCTGCTTGAGTTTCCCAGGAGTGGTGCTGTTTCCAGCCAGGTCGCCCTGTCCCCAGGCTTCGCACTGAAGGAGGGCCAGGTAAAACGTGTGTGGACTGAGCTCACGAGACAGGAAGGGGCAGACGGAACCATACCTGTGACCCTGTGTTCGGGTCTGGCCCTCTACCAACTGAGCTAAACAATCCAAGATAATACTCAGACTCCAAAACTCACTTGTTTGAAATCTCTATGCTGGTATTTTTGCACCACAATCTCAGACGACATAATTTTGCAGCTCTGAAAAATAGTCTCCAGAGCTATAGAATCTATATTAAACTCACATATACTGTATAAAATAAAATCTGACAAAACGCACCATAAGTGAAATGGCAGCTGGTGAGATGACAGCTTTGCCTTGCTGGGATGTCAAAATTCACACCTAACAATGCAGCGTTAAAATAACGAGATCTTAAAAATAAGTATCTTGCCACTTTAGAAAATCAGAATTCATTTTACGAACACTTCTGGTGTTCTTGGAAGAGGGAATGTCAGGTGAGATTTTCATAGCAAGTATACTTTCTAAGGTGAAGTGTTCAGGTACAACAGAGCTTCTCCTCGCCCTGAACAGGTGAGCTGTGGTCTAGGGACACTGGGGATCTAGGGATCAAAAGGAGGCAGGGCCCCTAAAAGGAGTGATTGTAAATGTGGTTTGAGCTGGCATCTGAAAGACTCACTGGGTTATGTCTCAGGTCCTCCATTCTTAGTGATGGTTACACTGACCTGTTAAAGGTGGAATTCTAGGTGTACCTGATAAGCAATTTCTAAAAATAATGACTCTTTTGGTCGGGATATTTTCACACGTATGTGTGCGGATGGGGGTGAAAAGCAGAGATTCAGAAGTCCTGAGTTCTAGTCCTTCACAGACTCATTTCTGAGTCTTCAATTCCCTTCTTGGTAAAGAGAAGCAGTAGGGCCTATTCCATCAAGCTCCCCTCCGATTAGTACCCGGGTCGAGAAGGAGAGGGAGCGTGCATTTATTGACCTGCTCTAGATCACACAGACACTGCTGGGAGGTGGTGCTGCGATGCTGACCCTGCTCTCATTTACAGACATCACTGCCTGAGGCTTTCAATTTCCCCAGGGGTTCTGTAAACTAAAAAAAAANGAAGCAGTAGGGCCTATTCCATCAAGCTCCCCTCCGATTAGTACCCGGGTCGAGAAGGAGAGGGAGCGTGCATTTATTGACCTGCTCTAGATCACACAGACACTGCTGGGAGGTGGTGCTGCGATGCTGACCCTGCTCTCATTTATAGACATCACTGCCTGAGGCTTTCAATTTCCCCAGGGGTTCTGTAAACTAAAAAAAAAAATAAAAAAATCACTTAAGATTAAGTGCATACACCATCCATTTCTGGACACTGAGACTCCGGGTCACTCCATGAGACATCAGTGCCCATCGGGAACCTGTACTAACTCCCCCGACTCCGTCTGCTCGCCTGTAAAGCAGGGGCCACACCTTACAGAGTCAGCCTCATTGAGAGGAGTCAGTGAGGTAAAGCGTAAAGAGCCTCAGCACAGCCCTAGCTGGTGTGGCTCAGTGGTTAGAGTGTTGGCCCTCAGACTGAAGGGTCCCGGGTTCAATTCTGTCTAAGGGCACGAACCTCAGTTACAGCTCTGGCCAGGGCGCCTGCGGGAGGCAAACAATCAATGTTTCTCTCTCCCCCCCCCAACCCCCCTCAACAATCTCTCAAAAGCCATGGAAAAAATATCCTCTGGTGAGGATTGGGGAAAAAAAAAAAAGCCTCAGCACAGCGCCAGGCTCAGGAACGGCTTGGGCTCGGTAACAATTATACTTTGCACAGGGAATTTAGTTTTCCAAGTTCTGTTATTTTTAGAAGTGTAGAAGAATAAATTTTTCCCCGAGTCCCCTGAAGGAAAGGCCGGAGAAATGAAATTTCATTTATTCAGCAGTTTTTTAATTCAGCACCTCCTCTAGGCCAGGCTCTGCTCTGGATGCTGAGGAGAAGCAACATTTGGAGACCTGACCTTCACACAGGAGTACAGTGAGGGGCTGGAGGAAGGGCTGAGAGGTGACAAGGACAGGGGACGGAGAGTGGGACACAGCATCTCAGACAGACATTAAGGGCTCCAGGGGAAAACAAAACAGAGGACGGGGTACCTGGAGGGCCCGCTGGATGGGCTGCAGCTGAACAGGGGCAGAGACGGAGGT